GAGGTGGGTCTGGGACAGCAAGACCCATCTGCAGGGAAGGAGGCCATGCTAACCACATTTGTGTTCCTCCCAGGAATCTCAAAGATCAGTTGTGCCTCTGCCCTTTACAAGAGGTAGTTTTATGAGTTAATACTTTCTTTCTGTCTCTGTCACTTCCAAACGGGGAGTTCTGATTCATACAGGAAGTGGCTGCACCCTCTGCTGATCTTGCTCCTGGGCTGGGTTTCTCCAGCTAGCACTGCGGTCCTGGCACTTAGCACGCTATGGCTGCTGTCACACATGGGGAGTAGAAGGCTGGCCACCAGCTATGGACAGGCATCACAGATGCCAGGACATGGGGACAGTCCCCTTTTGAATGCTCCATCCTGCCACCATCCAACATGTCAGTGTCCACTCTCCATGCTGTCCTCCCGTCTTTCCCACCCTCCTCCCTCAGCTCTGCATTCCCAGTCCACCGGGGACACCACGTCCAGGCCTGGATGCTGCTCCCAAGACCGCAGCCCAGTGCCCAGAGCCACACATGGACCAGTGGGCTGGGCCCACAGAAAAACATTTTAAGGATAGAGGGGTTTGTGGCAATAATAAGAGATTCAGTTCACCTGGAAGATCTGATGATTGTAAAATTATATGAATTCAATAAAATAACTTCAACAGGCTACGCACGATGGCTCATGCTTATAATCCCAGCAATTTGGGGGACCAAGGTGGGTGAATCACGAGGTCAGGAGATTGAGACCATCCTGGCCAACATGGTGAAACACCATCTCTACTAAAAATGCAAAACTTAGCTGGGCATGGTGGCAGACGCCTGTAATCCCAGCTACTCTGGAGGCTGAGGCTAGAGAATCGCTTGAATCTGGGAGGCAGAGGTTGCAGTGAGCGGAGATCGCACCACTGCACTCCAGCCTGGTGACAGAGCAAGCCTCCATCTCAAAAGAAAAAAAAGAAAAACTTCAACAAAAAAGGAAAAACCTGAGAGATCCATAGAAAGAATCTGACAAATTCACCACCAGAATGGAGAATTTCAACATACCTCCCACGATTATTGAAAGATCAGGTCAGGCATTGTGGCTCATGCCTGTAATCCCAGCACTTTGGGAGGACAGCATGGGCAGATCACTTGAGACGAGTTTGAGACCAGCCTGGGCAACATAGTGAAACTTGGTCTCTGCCGAAAAATTAAAACATCAGCTGGGCATGGTGGCTTGGGCCTGTGGTCTCAGCTACTCGGGAGGTTGTGTTGGGAGAATTGCTAGATCTTGGGAAGTCAAAGCTGCAATGAGCCATGATCTCACCACTGCACTCCAGCCTGGGCAAAAGAACAAGACCCTGTCTCAATTAAAAAAAAAAAAATCAAACAAGTGAACAAAATATACATACATACATATATATATATATATATATATAAAGAGAGAGAGAGAGAGAGAGAGAGAGAGCGTTCGCACAAAGATTTGAAAAACAATGTAAAAACTTGATTTAATAACATAGAAAACCTTGCTCCAAATACTTAAAAGTTAAAGATTACACATTCAACTTAAGCACGCTTAGAATATATATATATATATATATATATATATATATATATATATATACTAAATTGACCAAGTAATAAGCTATAAAGCAAGTCTCAAAAAATTTCAAGGAAGGAATATCATATAGATCTCTCACTAAAATGCAATTAGTGAGTCGCTATCAACAAACAGATCAATTTAAACATTCTTGTACTCTTGGAAATTTTAAAGCCCACTTCTAACATGTTATATATAAATCAAAGAAAAAATTATAATAGGCCAGGTGTGGTGGCTCACGCCTGTAATCCCAGCACTTTTGGAGGCCAAGGCCGGTGGATCACGAGGTCAGGAGATTAAGACCATCCTGGCTAGTACGGTGAAACCCCGTCTCTACTAAAAACAAAACATTAGCTGGGTGCGGTGGCACACACCTGTAGTCCCAGCTACTCAGGAGACTGAGGCAGGAGAATCTCTTGAACCCAGGAGGCAGAGGTTGCAGTGAGCCACGATAGCACCACTGCACTCCAGCCTGGGCAACAGAGTAAGATTCCATCTCAAAATAAAAAAAAACC